TTTAGCATATTATCCATAGCTGTCTCATAAAACTCTTTGGAAAGAACCACTATTCCTCCCCCCTTGTAAGCAGGCCTTATAACTATGTTCTTCCTGCTATTTAAACTTTTGATTCCTCTACTCAGAAATGCTTCTTCCTTAAATGTCTTTATTTTTAATGCTTCCAAATCTTTCGTAACTAACTTTTTAAAAGTATTAATATAATGACTATCCACATTTTTCGGATTGAATAAGGATTTATTGTTTAAATTGCTATGTTGAATATTCTCTGGCTTACTTGGTTTATCCATAATCGGAGTTGTTTACGCGCTTAAATGTCCATGTAATTTATTATACATAGGACGTACTAAATGCAGTTTGAAAGAACGCATGAAAGAGCATATTCATAATATTAATATAGGTTTTTACGTATCATCATCTATCCATGCATTTTTGGAAATATCACAATAGTAAAGCAGATAAGGTCGAATATTGGGGAATAGAAAAACATAATTCCCATTGGAGGGGAGACAATTTGGTTAGGGAAATTAGTAAGAAGGAATCTCTATGGATTTATGAGTTGGGGAGTTTGGCCCCAGGTGGTCTGAATAAAGAGTTCGATTTAGCATGTTATATTAGTGATATTTAGTATATATGGGAATATTTTTAATATACTCCATATTCGTTCTGGCTTTAATATGTTTTCTGGTATTATACATTGTATTTTTTCTATTCTGTATATTATTATATTTTTTATTTTTTTTCATTTTATTTATTTGTTATATACCGGTATATATTTTTTTTATTATTTGTTATTTTTATATATATGTTTTCTATTTTACACATTTTGGTAAAAAATGGGTTTAATGGATTATATATTGATATACTTCAGTATCCTAAAGGATTTAACATCAGTCATCTTTTTTGTTACATTGTAATGTGTTCACCTTCTGTCCAAGAATGGGGAGTGACATGTAGCGTATAGTTGGAAAGCAACATTGTATTTCCTTAAGTAAACATCAGCAGAGAAGATTAGAACGTATTAGAATCACGGCCCCAAAAAGATGGCCGCGCACATGTTAACTACAATAAAATGGAGGACAGCCAGTATATAAAAACTGAATGGAGAAGTGAACGTCCAATCACAAGCCCCTGATGAAGCCGCGTGACCAGAGGCGTAACGCGTAGGGGAGGGGCTACGACGTCACTGGCCATTCGAAGACGACAGGTCTACACAAGGCTGGCAGTGTTTGGCATGCTGTTGATGTATTGTTGGTGATATAAAAGCGGTTTTTACACTATTTAAATGTGAGTGCAACTGGTACTTTAATAAAGCACTGTTTTTTAAAAAAGATAAAAGCACTATTTTTGGCAATTTTCTTTCCACTTAGGGTACTTGCCAAGGAAAGGAAAACAGGAGATAATCAGCATAAGAGGGAGATCCCAGCAGGAATAGGAGACGGGAATCAGCCTGAGAGGGACCCACCACTCATATCTGGTGCAACAAACATCAGTCCCATTAAGTGGACAAAAATGTTATATGCCTGTTACAAGCTAATCTGGAGAGGGCACCTGCCAAGGAAAGGAAAGCAGGAGATAAGCAGTATAAGAGTAAGATCCCAGCAGGAGTAGGAGACAGGAAGCAGCCTGAGAGGGACCCACCACTGTTCATATGGTGCAACAAACATCAGTCCCATTGAGTGGACAAAAAGCGTTATTAGCCTGTTACAGGCTAATCTGGAGTTCAGCGCACATCTTATACTCACTAAGGAAGTTACCTGGAATTATTTATTTGATTTGAATCACTGGGAAAAGTCACAAATATTTTTTTTCATTGAAGACTGATTAATTTTTATATATTTTTTGTATAATGAGCACGGGATGACATTTTGATTTCATGTGACTTTCTGTTTTTCACAAGTTTATTAATATTGATTTTTTTATATATTTTATTGGAAATATGTATTGATTTAATATTCAAAGAAGGAGCGCAACATATTGTTTTTATGTTTTTGAATTATTTGCACATTTAAAGAGGATGTGTTGTATGTTTGCGATCCTGTAATAGCAGTAAGTGGCTCGCAAGATACATCTTTGTTTTTATTTACATAGTTAGTCTGGCTGAAAAAAAAAGACAAAAGTCCATCCAGTTGAACCATAGAAAAAAAAAAAAGTTATAATCCTATAACCACAGTTGGGGAGTATATAAATAATCTGAGGCCTGGGACAGCCCTGTTCTTGTCCAGTAACAGACGTTTCCAGTCTTAAGGCCTTCTGCCCTTCAGAGCAGCCCAGCTGAAGTTTACATGTGCTCATGAAGGTCTCAGCTAGGTAAGAGCTGGGGCCTTACCTGAAAACTAATTGGGGGATTTCACTGGGAATTTGGCCTGGAGAGCCCATGGATGAAAGTCTGGCTGATAATGGAAAGCATCCAAGTATCCATGGACATTTTGAGTATAGAACTGAGTCTAGGATCCTAGTAACTATTTGCTGTTACCCTTGTTAACAATTTCCAGTGGTTGCTTGGGCTGGGACAATTTTTCCAACTTCTCAGTGCTATCCACTCCCTTGGTTTTGACTAGAGAGACTGTTCTAAGAAATACTGACAAAAGTGAACAGTGTTTTCTTGTTATGCACAGTATTGCTGGAGTATCCAATAGCTACCTAGACTGATATCTGAGCAAGAGTGAGTGAATGTTACTGTGCGCATGACTGCTTCTACACTATCTAGAAGAACCTGTGGCAATTAGCAGTCCCTTTTGGAGGTAAGTGCTGCATGGAACTTCCCTTTTCAGGTAAAGTTTGGCCTTAAATAGCCATTTCTACGCAACACAGCACTACTTGAATGAATGTGTTTGGGAGGAAAATGCAGTGTTTGAGTACAAAGGTTGCATCTGACCTGCAGTTCTGACACAAGACATGCAGCGTATAAGCAGGCTGCAATTTAGCTAGCTCAGTGCTGCCCAGGATGGGAAGGATAGCATTAACCTTGGTTGCCAGGCTATCCTCTTGGCAGTCTTTTTCGGTCCAGCCCACTGATACTGGATGTATAAAAGGAACAGTGGCCTGGAGCCCGGACAGAGTCTTGCTCTTGCCTGTTTGCCATCAATCTGTGGCTGAAGAAGGATCAGCGTTTCACCTTTCTGCCATGATGTAGAAACCTGGGGGTTCACTCTGAAGACACCAGCTGCTGGACTCTGTTGATAACTATAGACATTGATGGACTCTACCTTTGCAGGGATGCCATGGCAGCACACAGCCTAAGTTAGGGTTGAGGGATGTAGGGAAGAACTGTGCTTGTGCATGTAGACTTTTCTCATATTTTGCAGTTTTCTAAGTAAAGTGTTGAAACTTTGCCTTTGGCAGTGTTAGTTTTGACGTCAATATTCAATTTAGTTTTAGTCATAGTCTTGATTAAAATGTCATTTTAGTTTTAGTTGTATTTTGGTTGACTGAAATCTAATGGGTTTAGTTAAATTGTAATGAATTATTTAAGCATTTCTCTACAATTTCCAAACTCATTATATACTCCTGGAAAAAAATCTAATAACATATTATTTATAGTATTAAGGTTTCAACATGCACTACAGACACAATTTTCGCCATTGTGATATATAACCACTGTTAATTTCAATTTACTTTTCGTCATAGTCTATTGACTAAAACGCCATTTTAGTCACCTGGATTGTTTGTTTTAGGCATATTTTAGCTGACTAAAATAGTGTAATTAATTAGATAAAATTAACACTGGCCTTCAGCCTGGTCTGAAGTTATTACAGGAGTGCACTGCATATAACTGACACATTTCACACATTTCTACAGCTTGGGTCACTGGACACAGGCAGCAGAGTCAGTCAAGCGGTTACCAAGAGTAACGGAAGCCAACAGTGAGTCAACCTGCCTGTCATTAGCATGTACCTGTCTCGCATAGTAATGGAATCGGATCGGCACCACTGAGGTCCCCATCCATTACAGAGATACATAAACTGAAGCGTTAAGTCTAGTACACACGCACAGCCTGTTCTGCTACTGGGAGAGGTAGCAGAAAACGCTGAACAGGTAAATGTGTGCACCTGAGAGTTAACTGGACAATTATTGTGTAAGTATACATGATGTAGGTTCATCTCTAATAGCGGAGGCCCGCCTTAAGGTTCAGTATTACCCCATGGCGGCCTCAGCCTTGTCCCAGGACACGAATGAAGATGGCAAGTAAAGGTACCCCATGTGTGATGCAGTGATCCTGTTACAGGTACCTAGCATAGCCCTGAAGAACGAGGAGGACACACCATCCAACTACCCTTAACCCTTTGAGGACCAAGGAACGTATTTGTCCCATGATTTTAATTGCGTGTATCATCTGATTAAGAACTTAAAACCCTTTTTTTTTTTTGGTTTGAGTCAAAATATTAGTTCTTATCAACAAACAACAAATGGATCTAGCTTTTTGCCAATTATTTCATGAAATGGCTTAGTTACAGCAACTGAAGTGTACGAACTGTAAAAACAAAAAAATTGATTCTTTTGGCGTTCCAAAATCTTACGGTCCTCAAAGGGTTAACAAGCACCCAAGGGAATTCAATGCAATACAAAGTAGGTCCAACACAGCCTCTGAACTGTTGTCTACACTTCTCAATGAAAGTTAATGGGCACCTATGTCAAACAACACGTGTCAATACCAGCCTTTACATTCTGTCAATTGCCAGCACAATGAAAAAAAGCTGGGGTTGTATGGATGCACTCCAGAGAACCCTCATAATCGTGGAGTACAAGGAGAAAGCATGGCGAGTGTAAGGCTGGATGCAGCGAGGTAGAAGATGCTAACGGCAGAAGACACAGGTGGGAGGGGAAGAGGAGTCGGGTGAGTCATGGGCTCTGATGGAGGGATATAAAGCAATGGTGCAGGTGATGCAGGACATCACTGACACGGAGAACTGAAGTGACAGGGGGGTTCCTACACAGCCCGTCCCGTTCAAGTGAGAACAGAGAGCCCTAATTGCGCCTCCAGTGACGGGGTGTCCTCAATGGCGCTCTTGCGAGGCACCGTGCTGTTCGCGGCCGGAATGCTGCTACTTGTGTCCGCACTGCCCGGCGAGCTGAGGGGGCAGAGAAGCCCGGTGAGCGGCACAGAGTACGGTGTAAAACTGTGCGGACGAGAGTTTATCCGTGCAGTCATCTTTACCTGCGGGGGGTCCCGCTGGAAGAGGATACCTGAGGAGGACCAGAGAGAGTCCGGCTTCGTGAGGAGAGGTGAGCAGCCCGCCAATTTCTACCAACTCAGCGCGCGCATTCCAACTGAGGCACTTCACCGCCTCCTCAAGGGGACCCTGCTAGAGTCTTTTACATTCCCTTAGTATAGGCTGGACATCTCATTTAGTGAGGATGCAGAGTTTACAAGTCGAAACTCTTCCATAGCTTGCAAAATTTGGTGTAAACTGTTCCTGTAGTTTATTTTGATAAAAAAAAAACGTTGTGCAAGTTCTGTGAACAATGACAATTAGTTTTAGGCTCAGGTGTGACAAGAAAACAAGAGTTTTGTGTAAAGCCTACCTTTTATGTGACAATTGAATTCACGTTATGTCAATTTCCCTAGTCATACATTGTTAACAATCATTTTCGATGTGTAACCAAGAGCTGAGTGTTCCCGCTGAGTTTGGTGAAATCCATTTTTTGCCCCTTTGAGTTGAGTATTTGAAGCAATCAGATCTATAACTGCTCATTTGTTTTATTATGTGTAAGGTCAGCTTGCAAATCACTGTCTGGAATGAGGAAAAAAATATTTGGGGGGATTTTATGGAGGTGAGACAGTATATTACTTCTATTTTAGGTTTCATTTGTTTTAAGGTGTTTACTTAGGTTTTGCATAGGATACATAAAAAGGATAATTAGTTTAATTAAAAACACAATGCATAAGAAGAAACATACATCTCATGCATTGGGGCACTTAGTACCCAGTATCGTATAACAGGGATGTAGAACAAGAGCCAATCACACTACAATAGTCATACCTCCGCTCCTGACCCCATATTTGTGACAAAAAATGTAGGATGTAGAAAAGACATAGGTGTCCTTTTATCATGCAGCGGTAAATGACCGCTGCTCAGTTCTCCGGCATTCTCAGAGGAGAGAGTTCTCCACTGAATGCCTTTTTATGAAGCGGTGTAGATCACTTCTCCGAATGAAGAGAGAAGCAATCTACAAATGCTTTCAACGATGGAAAACGGCTGCTTTTGCTATAATCTCGCTAGATTACAGTAAGAGATCAGTCAAACACCGTTCAATAAGCAGCGGTAAATTATCGCTGCTTCATTTGGGGTTCTTCCGATTCTCCAGCACTGGGCTAGAGAATCTGGAGAGAGAACACAGATCGCCAGTAAAGGGCTGATATCGCTTCTTCATATACTGGCCAGCTGTTTGCTGAGATGATCAGTGGAGAACATGCTCTCCACTGATCATCTCTGTTTCCTAAACCACTAATTTATTTATGTATTATTTTCAGGTACTTATATAGCGCCATCAATTTACGCAGCGCTTTACATATATATTCACATCAGTCCCTAACCCTCAAGGGGTGTACAATCTAAAGTCCCTAACTAACATTCATACATACACATACTAGGGCCAATTTTGACAGAAGCCAATTCACCTACCAACATGTGTTTGGAGTGTGGGAGGAAACCCACACAGGCACAGGGAGAACATGCAAACTCCAGGCAGGTGGTGCCGTGGCTGGGATTCTAACCAACGACCCTAGTAATGCCAGGCGGAAATGCTAACCATTTAGCCACTGTGCTGCCACTAATGATCGGAGATCAGCAACGATCCTGAGTATCGCCACTGATCTCTGTTTCATAAAAGGACACCCAAAGCTGGCCATACATGGAGCAAAATTCAGCCTTTTCAGCAGGGACTGATCAAATTCCAATCCATGTATGGGCAAGGTAGTTGTACAGAAGTTGATCTACCAATTGATGTCCGTACAACCGCTCTGTTGGAAAAATCCCCCTCAATCAGCGCCACTGGCTATAGCCGGCAACGCTGATCAGTGTATTCTGATGCTTGGGAAATCTCCCCGCTGTCAGAATACCAAAGCTCAGCGGAGGATTTCCTAGATCAAATGTGTGGATGGGGGAATCAGGTCTCATATATATATATATATATATATATATATATATATATATATATATATATAAAAATTTTTTTTTTTGCACACAAAAAACAAACAAACAAGCTGCCTTGCAATCAAGATCTAAAGTGGGCATATCTGAGTAGCTTGTCATGAGGGATTCTAGCTGTACATTCCAGATTTTATAGAGTATTTTTGGCCAATCTCTGTCCGTATGTATTATCTTTGCATTTATCAGGCAAAATACTTGTGTTAGAGTTAGAGGTTTGATTCAATTAGTATAGACATCTTTGCCTGCAAAAATAATAAGTACAAAATATGTTGTTGGACCAGAGGAACAAAGTCGTTCAAAAGGTTCTGGGGCTGGAAAATCTCACGTGAGTCTCTAGCATGCAATATAATGCTTCCCAAAAGGCAATGATGCAAAGGTAAGTCCAGAAAACATGATATAAGATAGCTAGGGAGCCACCACATCCAAAACACTGACCCCATACAGTACAGCCTATTTGGCGTGTAGTGTAAATGGTGTAGAAACATATATTGTATGAGCTTATCAGCCATACTGATAGTATCTGCAAACCATATATTTGTTAACTCCTCCAAGCTATTTTAAGTTTTAGGTACGTGACCTTCTTTAAAAAAAATGGTAAGTTTAGGTGACCCTCAGTGTGTCAGTGTTGACAGTTATTTCACCTAACTTTACTTTGTATTACACTTTAAAAATTCCTTGATATTTTTGTTACACTGTTGAAAAGTCTATCTTGATCATTTTGCTGATTAGTCAAAGTCCTTTAGGCAGCTTTGTTCCTTCCTTTAAGTCAAGGTCATAGTAAAGTTTCAAATATGTTAACTGTCAAACTATGACAAAATTTTATTTCAGCAAATGCACTACATTTTGAGAATATAAAACAATGCAGGGGAATTTTATGATTTATAGTTTATTTGTTCTATATATTTCCAGTAAGTTCTGCTACCACTGACCCGTACACTAGCACTTTAAAACTGCCCAAAATATAAGGATAGGCTTTTGTATGCTTACTTTTATACTTAGGCAATACATTTACCAGAATGTATTCATAGACACAAGTCGGACTTGCTTAGCTTTGGACTGACTATACATGGCTCAACAAGACTAATTTAAACCTTAACTTAAACACAATTTGTAGCAATGGAACCATTCTTGAACTGCAGTCACAATCGCTTGTGATTGTTGGAAGCAACTGTTACCACACAAAGAACATTTCCAGCATGTTTGAAAATCTTTTTGTAATTTATAACTCGTCATTGCCTATTCTATGGAGAAAAATTAATAAAGCTTCAACCACGTGCACCATGAAAGCACACATTGCTGAAGAATAGACAGATGTCTTGCCACCTTTTCTCATTGAGATATCTTCCCATCTAAAGTCTTAATGATTTACATTCTGACAGTCCAGGTCAGATATTTATATAGTTGTTAAGAGTTTGCAATAAAGAGAAAACCAATAGAATACATCCGTTTTGTGTCCATTAGTTTGTTAGTGGATGTAGAAATATTGTATTTTTATGGGAACTTTGTGTCAGTGCCATTTAAAGGGTAATCTTAAATGTCCATTATATTTAGAACTCGTTTGTCACACTCCAGTGGACTGGTTCTGTAATTTTGAAGACATTTTGTATCTTCTCCAAGCCACGTTTTCAACTCCAATGAGAGGCACATACCCCAACATTTATATCCACACAGGTAACACAGCCATCTTGATCCAACCACCATGGAAAAGCAGAAAACCTCTTGAACAATAACATTTGCTTTCCCTTGAATAATCACAATAAATAGAAAACATTTGCATCATATTCTTTGGTGTCTATAATAGGTGTTTGATAAAACACCTAAAATCAAGTATCTTCTCACAGAACACTGGTGTTTTCCCTTATCCTTTAGTTGATGTTGGGCATATGTAGAATGATCTGTTTTTCAAAGAGGTGATGTTTGGTCATTCTCTTATACACAAACAATTTCTTACACACTAGTAAAACATTCTTTGGTTTGATAGGGATATGTTATCAAATGGCATGATTTCTTGCAGATCATGAAAATGTTTACCAGGCAGAATCTATTTGTCACTGTGCACACAGTAACTAATGTAAGAATTCTTTAAAAAAAAATTTGCATAATCCTAAATAGTTTCTCTCAACCTTTTTTTATAACAGAGAAATCCTTGAAATAATACAGTATTTACATATCAGGGAACTTCTGCTGAATGTTGTTATATCTATAGCTCATGGTACATTAGCGTTATCAGTGAGTTTCAGAGAAAATAAGAAAATAATTTTAAAATGTGATGTACCTAGCCTATTTACCACCCAAGTGGAGAAATCTATAAAACCCTGATTCTATAATAATTTTGAACAATAATAAAACAAATTATAAGTAATAGCAAGAAAAAACAATGCAGTTCAAATTGTATACCTGGGGCAACACACAGTGGCTAAATGATTAGCACTTTTGCCTGGCAGTACTAGAGACGCTAGCTTGAATCCCAACCACGGCACCACCTGCCTGGAATTTGCATGTTCTCCCTTTGCCTGTGTGGGTTTCCTCCAAGTACTCCAGTTTCCACACTCCAAAGACATGCTGGTAGGTTAATTGGATCCTGTCTAAATTGGCCCTAGTATGCATATGTATGAATGTAAGTTAGGTACTTAAGATTGTAAACCCCTTGAGGGTTAGGGACTGATGTGAATGTACAATATATATATGTGTGTAAAGCACTGCGTTGCATATTCTTGATTAAAAAAAATAAATTGTGTTCCTGGTTGGTATTTTGCATCGGTACAAGAGGCTTTAAAACAACAAATGATGAGTAAGTTATGATCATCAATTTTACCTATTTATTGTTATATATTTTGCATTTACAATACATATTGATCTGCAATTTTTTTTTTTCTATAGTAGAGAGCAACAAAGCTGTCTTCTAAAATGTTAGTCGGCAGAACAAAAGTGTAAGGGTTGATAACAATCATTTACAGCACTTTCTGCAATATATCAGACTGCACCTTTTATTGGCTCAGAATAGTGAAAAGGTCATTAACTGGTTGCCATGTATTCTGCCCATTTCATTTTGGCTTTTCAGATATAACTGATTGTAGAGTGCTATTAAAACCTTAAAACAGAGTTAGTAGATGACATAGATTCTTAATAAAGTTAAATAATAAGTTTTGAAATCAAACACAGGTAAATATTCAGAAACGTTCTAAATGTTTAATGTTTTTGTTTTTTGTTCCCAAGATAATTTGCAGGATTCCACTAACAGAGAAGTAAACCCGCTGATGGTACAGGCACTTTTAGGAACTAACCTGGAACAGCTCCAGAAGCCTGATTTTCACTTAAAACAGGAGCATTTGTTACAACATCCCTTTATCGCCTACGATGATTTCAAAGACCGCATTCCAGTATCAGAGGATTTTAGTGAGTACATGCATCAAGTGGAAGATACAGATAGAAAAGCTCAGCGTGAATCTCAGAACAGCGGTGCTCTAGGTTCAGAATGGTTCCCATGGACAACATTCTCTAGGACAAGGAGAGAAATGTCTATTGGAGTAGCAGGCATTTGTTGCAAATGGGGCTGCACAAAAGCAGAAATCAGCACTTTGTGCTAAGTGAAGAGATTAATGATGTACATCTCATATACCTTTTGTTTGCATAGACTTAGAATTACTGTGAACTACAAACGTATGTCACAAACACTGACTATACAAATTATTTGGTTGATCACTCTTTATACTTTAACCAAAGGCCCTTCGTGGCTTATTTATGTTAAAGTGGCCCTTTTTTATCAATATGTTATTTAATTTACTGTTTTATATTAACTGAACATTCTATGTCGTTGAAACATGACAGAAATCAAGTTGGATTTAGAATATGAGTTTACAGCTGGGAAACTTTGTAAATGAATGACTGTAGAATGCAAGTTTATTATTCTGTTGATGTAATGTTACAGGAATGCTGTACAGAATATAGACAATATAATACATTGTGGAATTATTATGCAGATAAAGCAGCAATTAGAAGCAGATACAATGACTTTTCAGTTTCATCTTCCTTGCAGTTGAAAATATGACATTTTTGACATTTCAGTGTAACCATGAATCTTTGAAGTAAACAGGGGACTTTAGACAAGTAATTTCAGTTTGTAGTAAAACATTAATACATAAAGTCCTTTGTGTTATACTTTAAGTAATAGAAAGTGTGTTAAAAATAAAACGTTGGTTTGTGAGCTTCACACATATAAGGGATTGTTTACTAAATGGAAAGAATGTAAGTCCGTAAATCAGGTTTCTTTCCATATATACCTCTTGTTAGAGCATTGTAAAAGGTAAAGAAAATTCCTATTTTCCATAATGTGACAGGAAATAATGAAGCTACCGGTTTTCAGCTGAGCTACCAAGTCAAAATATATACACTGAACAAAATTTTTCATTTAGTCTTACTTGCACTTTTACAAAATACTTTGCTGTGTGTTTCTGTAAAAGGCTAAGTGGTTTTGTCATCTTAGCAAGAAAAGGGCCCATTTGTCTGCCTGTGGAAGACCATGGAGCTCCCCTTTCAATGCCTTGTTGAAAACAGGTGTTTTTTGCACTATCCTTACTTGTATATTTATTGATTTACTAGTTTAAAGAAGAAATATCACTCTCATTTTTTTTATGTGTTCTGTTTCCCAGGGGACAAATGTCATGTAGAACTTTGTCCCGTTTTCCTATGTGCTGTGTAAGGCTAGCTGTAAGATTGTACAGGGTACCCCACCTTTCTCCATAGCCATCCAACAACATAGCTAGCAAGGAGATGGCTGCTTTGACAGAGAACACTGTTCTTTGTCTCCAAGCACTTGCCTGCGACAAGCATCCCAGAAGAAATGACGGGGGGGTTGCCTGTCAGCTAAAATGTTCCAGGGAAGTTCTTGCAGATTGAGAAAAGTGCCTTCTGTCAAAGCAGCCATCTCCTTGCTAGCTGCATTGTCTGAGTCTGACTGCCCCTGGAGGGAGGAAGGGCACCCTGTCCAACCTGACAGTTAGCCTTACCACATAGGAAGGTGGGAAAAAGTACTTTGTCCCCTGGAGAACAAAACACGTTAAAGAGGAAGTCTTAATTCCATTCTGTTAAGTGTACAGTCAATACATCTAGATGTGGACTTTCTGGAAAATTGGTGAAATTGGGTGACCTTGCTATTCCATATAGTCATTTTTTTAGAAGTATACTGCAAGGTTAGAAATATGAAATCTGCCATTGTTGGAGCCGTCAAGCCCCCCTTTGCTTGCAAGTCAGTGACCTGTTACAAGCATGTGTATGTTATGAATTGCAACATATACATGCACATGCTTGTTGTGGGTCAGTGATTCAGTAAGCAGTAAAGTTGACAAAGATGACAGCTTTGAAAAACAGGGCAGCACTTTTAATATTCATACCCTGATAGATTCCTTTCAAGCTTCACATTCCATATTCTGCACCATTATTATGTGGTATATGCTTGTAGTTAAGTAAACATAGTTACCAAGGCATTCCATTGAAAGTGTAAGAGGAGACAGATTCCCACAAACTATTGCATTAAGAGCTTTTCTAAATTCTCCTACTCTGTCCTGGTGCGGGCAGAATACTACATGTACTAACACACATATCCTGGACAAGCATGGAGCTTTCCTGATGTGCACAGTTGCTCTTATCCAAACGTAATCTTTTGCACCTGAAATTTACATTTTTCTTTTGATAATTGACCCCTATAGTTTATCCTCAATAATTTTTTTTATTCAAAATGTACTGTTTGTTTATTTGGGTATTGCTAAGGGGACAGTGGGAACTTTTTGTAGAGCACATATATCCAAAGGTTATTGGAAATGCTTCATAAAGTGTATAACTGTTGTATTAATCCCAGTTAATTTGATTTATAGCCAGACAATTCTCTTGGCTAGAAACTAATTTCTGAATGCAACACATGCCAACTCAAACTCAGATATCTAATAAAGTACTTTGAGCAAACTAGTTCTGCCCACTGGAGTCTTACTTGCATTTCCCTTCATTTTTTCCATTGCAACAAACATGTTATTTATAGAGGCTGGTTGTACCAAAGAAAATAAGCTGTACATGACATAAAAAACAAAGTGTGACTCACATTGTTACATAGGAGTGGTCCTGAAGAGTCCACAACTGCACAGATAACAGTAGTGTGTACTTAAACAAAACCAGACTCTAACATTAGGGGGCAATTACAATATATGTGATTAATAGTGTACAGTATTACACCGATGATGAGTAAAAGACACTGAACTACGGCGGCGTTGTATGAGTACATTTTCAGTTGCTGATTACTACAGAGTGACTTTATGGCTTGGCTAAACCCAGAAAAAGAGGGGAGTCCTGGAACACACCAATTTAAACCCAAGTAGCATTGGTGTTTTTACACAGGTTGCCGTGTGTTCCAACCAGTGATCCCAGATTTTATTATACTTAGAGGGGCAACCTTTATGTATGCAGACTATCTTTTTGTAGGGGAGGGTAATATTGATTTCTACGAACAAGTATTAAAATGTGTGTATGGGGGGGGGGGGGGCTTGCATTCAGTTGTCAGCGTTTGGATCAGAAGAGAGCCAAGCAGGCACTGTTTGGAGTTTACAGTCGATGGGAACCATACCATTTGCAGCCAACAATCCTGGTTTTTAGGATAGGCCCAAAATAGATGGTAAAAGTTGCCAGGGGCATTGGAGCATAGTGGGCATTGTGGAATATGGGTGAGTCAATACTTGACAATGCGGATAGGGTCATGAAGGCCCTATGCAGAAAATGCAGTTGGCTTAAACAGCTGAATAATTTGGGGGAAACTGATTTATGATTATCCAGGATTTCCTCCTATTTTGCAACCACTACTCTCCCCACACCAGTTTTCCAGCGAGTCTTAACTTAATAGGCCATTCTAGGGGCAGAGGGTGTGAGAAGGATATTAAAGAAGGCAGAAAGCAGTTTTTTGGGGTCAATGCTATAGACAACTTGTAAGAGCAAGATGGGTGTTAGCATTGGGTACACACCTGGGAACTGGTTATGCAGGGCATAGCAGAATTGAAGATATTGAAGCAGCATAAAGGTAGGGAGTGAAAACACACTTGAAAGGTTTTGGGACCACTATGAGATAACATGGTGTAGGGAGAAGCCCAGAGGTCTGGGTTTGGTAGAGTGAGGAACTCAAGTAGGTTGTTGTTGAACCAAAGAGGTGTATAGGCGTGAAGTGTGGGGATATTCAAACTGGCCAGTGCCAGATTCCAGACTTGTAGGCAGTGATAGACCAAACCTGCTCCACACCTGATCCGTGCACCCCTTGTAGTATGATCTGTAGGGTGGTGTGGGTGATGGGTGTGTAAACTAAGGTCTGATAGCATAGCTTTTGTGCTTTATCCAAGTGATAAAAAATAAGAGAGTTGTACTGCTTAGTAATACAGTGAGGAACAGAAGTATTTGAACACCCTGTGATTTTGCAAGTTCTCCCACTTAAAAATAATGGAGGGGTCTGAAATTCACATTGTAGGTGCATTGCCACTCTGAGAGACAGAATTTAAAAAAAAAAAATCAGGAAATCACATTGTATGATTTGTAAAGAATTTATTTGTCTTGCACTGCTGAACATAAGTATTTGAACACCTGAGAAAATCTGTGTTAATATTAGTACAGAAGCCTTTGTTTGCAATTAAAGGTTTCCTGTAATTCTTGACCAGGTTTGCACACACTGCAACAAGGATTTTGGCCCACTCCTCCACACAGATCTCTAGATCTGTCAGGTTTCGGGGCTGTCGCTGAGCAACACGGAGTTTTAGGTCATATACTTCTGTTCCCAACTGTATGTATTAAAGTGAGGCGGGGCAGTTCCCCCTAGACGGCTTTTTGATGTTTGCTAGAGTAGTTTGTGCCTGCTATTGCCCCAAACAAACCTAATAAAGAGTCCATGGTTTTGAAAAATTTTAATGGTATGTAAATGGTGGAGTAACATAGGATGTACAGAATGGGCGTAGTACGATTTTGTATTAGTTTTTTTCCTGCCCATAACCCAAGGGAAGCCAGGCCCATGTTTGCGTTTATTTTGTGATTAGGGCATTTAAGGGTTCCACATTTAGCAGCTAAAGTAAACCTGCCAAGATAAAAATACAGGGGCTCCCACTGCAGATCTCTAAATGAAAATGCTAGCTGCCTGGCTCACTTGTTTTATGCAACTCCTGATGGAACTTTGGATCATTGGTGATAGAAGTGAACCTTTTCCCCGGTCTTGGGGGATCTTGCACACTGAAAAATAATTTCTTTTGGAATTGGCCTGTATTTGGCTCCATCTGCCTTAACCTCAATCCTGACCATTTTTCCAGGCCCTGCCAGAGACAAGCATCCCATATGATGCCACATATAAGGGTTGATTTATTATAGGAAAATAGACTGTTCAGTCTGCAAGGGAAGTTGCAGTTTGTAAGTAATTTTTTGCAAGAGCTCAGTGAATCAGGTGAAGCTTCCATCATCTATACATGTGTAAGTAAAATTACTGTTTTTATTTTCCTTGAACATGATTGGATATTCTTTGCAAAGTGAAATTTTACCACATTCACTAAGTTCTGGGGAAAATAAACTTGCAAAGTGT